AATGAATTGCATTATCTCGTGAACAACGCGGCCATAATGTTTGCGCCCAAGAAGTTCACCGACGATGGCTTCGAGTCTCACTTTCAGGTCAACTATTTGGGCCACTGTTTGCTTGTGTGGGCACTGATGCCAGTGATGGCCGCTTCGGCCCAGCGGTGCGGCCAGAGGTCGCGTGTCGTGAACGTGAGCTCATCGACACATTACGCCCGAGACCTGTGTCTGAATGACTTGCAATCGGAAGAGATCTACAGTCCGTTTCATTCGTACGCTCAGTCAAAGTTGTGCCAAATTATGTTCACATTCAGTCTTAACCATTGGTTCGCAACTCATCAACAGTACGGCCAATACGTGTCCGTCAATGCACTCCATCCGGGCGTCGCCTTAACAGAGCTCTACACTAATGTCTGGTGGGTTAAGATCGTCCCCTCTCTGGCCAGAGCTCTCTTCAGAGTCAGTATTCAATTGTTTTTGTCTAAAACTTACTCTACAATTGATTTCTTGTATTTATTGAGTTCTTTATGTTATGATTAATAGACATCAAAAGAAGGCGCGGAGACTATACTATACGCCACCCTTTCCTCCCAATTGGAGGGCATTGGAGGCAAATATCTGGAAGACTGCGCTATTATACGGTCGTCCGGCTTCTCCATCAACAGACAATTTCAGGACCAGTTATGGCTCAAGACTTGGAGTGCACTCAAAGACTGGACTAAAGACTTGCCAAACCCTTTGGTTGATTAACTTCTTTGGCCACTCTTCCCAAACAATACTACTTTTCTATTGAATTATTTATATTTTTATACTATTTTAGGCAAATATTCCGGTTAAATATCATATAAACACTTAATTAAAGCAATAATTTATTAATTTTTATACTTTTAATATACAGTAATTGAATGTTTGAATAAAAAATAATTATATTTTCACGAAAAACAACGACTATTAATATTAATCTACAAATGATTATCATTTAGTGATTGATTACATCTATCGGAGAGACTTAACGACAAACAAATGCCCAGAAAAGGGCCACAAATGAGATGACAAGCGAAATGCGGCCACAATTTAAGTGATAATTAAAAATGTGGTGAATTAACGACCGGTGAGTCGGGATTGAATGGACCGCTCATTTCGTCGGCCTCGAGATCGTCGTCTTCGTCGTCGTCCTCATTGTCGTCGTCGTCGTCGTCATCGTCTTCGTTGTCGTCGTCCTCCTCCTCCTCTTCGCCGAACTCGTGTGTCTGACCGGTGGGCAAGAGGTCGTTGTCGCGGGAACTGATCTCAGACAGCTGTGAGCAGTGCTCCTTCTCCATCAACGACAGCTCCAACTCTTCGTCCAGAGGTTTGTCCACTTGGAACCAATGCGAGTCCATATAGCGCGGGGTCAGCGATGGGAACAGTGGCTCAACCATTCTTGTGGTCAGTTTGTGGTCGACTCTCGTGAGTTCTCAAAACGAAAGTTTTACTCAAAACAAAACCAAAACTTTTAGTGAAAAAACACTTACTTAAAGTAAGCATTTATTGCATTACGATACTTACCCACCTTTCGCTACTTACGAAACCGGTAACATTGGCTTTTAGTTAATTTGTGATTTCAATTGCTTTTAAACATCATTTTCTGACTTTTAATATTATTAATGAATTTTAAAATGAATTTAATATGAATTTAATATGAATTACATTAAATTCACAAATAGTTTCATAAAATATGTTTCGAAATGAATATTCAAATAATTTTTTAATTCAAAATAGTTTTATTTGCGTTAAAAAGTGGTAAAAAAAGTATTTTTACAAAGTATTCAAAAAGTGTTACATTTGTTTAATTTCATGCAAAATATAATGTAATTATAAAAATGATTATCAAATGAAATGAGTTTAAAATGCATGTAAAATATAAAATAATTGTTTCAAACAGTTATGGTTTTATCAAAATATTTATCATAAAACTTGTCAAAGAAAGAGACGATAATAAACATGGATATCAATAATAGACCAGAGATGCCGAGCAATACATACGACAAAATGTCATTCTTGGATGTGGTGTTCGGCCACAACGACAGAGACCTCTTCTCCAACAGCACTTTGGTTATGATCTTATGAGACAATTCTTGGGTGCAGTCGAAGAGTGGTCTCATCGGAACCTTTGACGGAGATTCGCGAAACGCTTCTATAAACAGGTCCTCGATCTCCACAAACACTGACACTTGTCTCCCATCCGTGTATTCAAACACTTGCTTTAGTGGACACCAAAGGGCGTGAGTTTTCGGGAAAGTGATGACTCGAAAGCACGGGCGGAATGCGAGACCCCATCGGCGGTCAATAAGTCGTTGAAAGTGTTTGAGTTCGGGAATAGTTCTTCTCATTACTTCTGTGTTGAACGTGAGCTCCATATCAAACACGTTTAGAGACCTGTTTTTGCCGACGGGTTGGACCATAAATCTGACATCAATTCCGTTGAACCAAAACCAAATGTCATTGTATTTCGTCAAACAGACTCTATCGCTGTTCTCAACCGTCGGCTTTTTCGGGAACCGAATTCTGGCCACTCGTGTCCTGTTCTCTGTGTCCAAGTAATTGATACCAATCACGAGATCAAGTCTAAAGATGAGACAATAGTGATTGCCTTTCATTGCATTTTTATTGTTTCGTTTGGTGTTTCTCTTCGTTTTGCTATTAGTGGTCAACCGATCACTTGATCTGATCTCTCTTTTGTCAACTCTTGATTGACTACTATTGGCCACAGTTTCCGATCCATCAATTGATTTGAAATCAATTTTATTGTTAAATGCTTTCCATTTCATTGAAACTTTCTTAGCGTTTGATATGAACCAAACTCTGTCTCTAAATGAGCGCTCTTTTGAGGCAATTTGTGCATCAGTTTTGATGTCTTTGTTATAGACATAGGGTTTTGTGTTATCGGCGCTACAAAGTTGTGACACAACTAATAGTGATTTTAATGATATCATTAACAGTAAAATCATTACTAATTTTGCTGTCATTTTTATCATCAATTAGTAATTGGTATTTAAATGTGACAAAAATTGTAAAACTTTTCACATTTTTTTCCATACAATGAATGAGTTTAAAAAACTTAACAAAAGTGTGAATGAATTTCAATCAACGCTTTCTTATAAATGCTTTTTTTCTTCAATTCATTTGAAATTATTTTACACTTTTGTCTCAACTGTGTGTCAGTTATACCCTTAATATCCCGCATATAACTCACAGTTAGTGAATAATTAACGTCAATTGTTTATCACTTGTAAATTACAATATACAGTGCAACTTCTCTTGGAAGAACACCTCCTCATAAGGAACGGATTTGAAATATATTTTGGATTTCCTATATCTATAACTGAACCTCCCCTAGAGAAGAAACACTTTGGCTATGCATCAGCCCGTTCCCTACGGAAAAGTTGCATTTTATTTAAAACCATTCAACTTTATTGATTTATTTGAAATAGTGCATTTATCATTTATTATATTAATTTTATTCACCGGTTTACATAAATCCTATTAAAACAATTAAGTCTATGTGTAATATACGAGACTTTAGGGTAAATGAGTGTAGGTGTAAAACAAAGTTGATATTTGAGTGAAAGTGGGCTATAATTGAGTGCATTTCACATCCGGTCCTCACTTTTCACTTCAATAATACACTAATCTTTCAATTATTGAAATTCAATACAAAAACATTTTCAGCAATAAATCACTTACTCTTAGCTTCAGATCACGTGATTTCCACTCTTTGGGCACTAATGGCGTCGAAGGGATCCGTTTCGGGTGACAGTATAGACATGGATGACGACAACGACGGAGATTACGATATCGTACGACCGATAAGACAGAGAGACAGTGACCGACACTTAATTGTCTGAATATAACGTTTGCATTGTCTTCAGGACTATTCCTCGGCGGACGACGAGCCGGACGTGAACTTAGAGAACCAGTACTTCAACGCGAAGGCCATCAAAGACGACGACCCGAACGGCGCTCTCGACTGCTTTGAACGGGTGATCGCTATGGAGGCGACCGATGAGACGGCGGACGGCAAACCCGGCGACTGGGGCTTCAAAGCACTCAAACAGATGATGAAGATTTACTTCAAACTGGTATTAACTGTGCTTTTATGGCACCGATTATATTATGTAACGATTCTGTATGTAATCTATAGGGGAATTACACCGAAATGATGGCCAGATATAAGCAATTAATGACTTATATTAAGACCCGTATAAACAAGAATTACGCGGAAAAGTCCATTAATGCGATTCTCGACTATATATCCACATCCAAACAGGTCTGACAACTCAAGAGCTCTTGAGAGACTGTCTTAATGATTGTCTTATTACATGTGTTTGTAATGCATTGTCTGTACGGATCAGATGGAACTGTTGGAGCAGTTCTACGAGATAACACTGGAGGCGTTGAAGGACGCGAAGAACGATCGGCTCTTCTTCAAGACGAACACCAAATTAGGAAAACTCTATTTCGAGAGAAGAGAATTCAATAAATTGTCTGCAGTTGTGAAGAGATTACGCGAATTGTGTCAAACGGACGCCGGAACCGATGATCCCAAGAAAGGCACTCATCTGTTGGAGATTTATGCGCTCGAGATTCAGATGTATACACATCTCAAAGATAATAAAAAGCTTAAGGTAAATGTGATTGTCATATATATTAATGGTATAATCAGATATATTGGTATTTATTGTAATTTTAATTAATAAACGGTTAGAAACTATACGAAGAGTCGCTTCGCATCCAGTCTGCAATCCCTCATCCCTTAATAATGGGAGTGATTAGAGGTATGAAAAGCATTGATGGGTTTTTGCATACATTTTGAATATAATTAACTAATTGTATGACAAGAATGCGGAGGAAAAATGCATTTGCGAGACGCGGCTTACGAGAGGGCTCACACAGACTTCTTCGAGGCGTTCAAGAACTACGACGAGGCCGGCAGTGGACGGCGAATGGCGTGCCTTAAGTATCTGGTTTTGGCCAATATGTTGATGAAGTCTGGTATCAATCCGTTTGACTCTCAAGAGACCAAACCATATAAAACGGACGCCGAGATCGTGGCGTTGACTGATCTCGTGGCCGCCTATCAGAACAATGACATCAAAGAGTTTGAGAAGATCTTGAAGTATAATAAGAAGGCTTTACTCGACGACCCGTTTATTAAGGAACACATTGAAGGCATTCGTTGATCAATGTGTTGTGTTTTCAATGTCTCAATTGGTTATCCCTTTCAGATCTCATCCGCAATATTCGGACCCAAGTGTTGGTCAAACTAATCAAACCCTACACTAAGATTGCAATGTCGTTCATTTCGCAGGTAATGAACGCCTTATCGTTGAGAATATTATAGAAATATAAATGAATTTAAACCGAAAACAGGCGTTAAATGCAGACATGAATGAAGTGGAGAGCTTATTGGTTATCTGTATTCTCGATAAGTAAGTATTCATTTGGTAAATGAATTGACATTTATTTTAAATTTAAATAAATATTTTACAAAATACGGTAAAAATGATTGAATTTTAGTACAATTGATGGTCGAATTGATGGTATAAAAGGTGTGCTCGAACTCAACACCCGTAAGAATAGTGTTGATAGTTATAAAGCACTGAACAAATGGTCTAATAGTTTGGCGTCAATTCACTCAAAAATTATGGCTAATGTTCACTGAATTTGTTTGATTTAATGCATAACTATTTGCCAACATTTGTTAAAAACATACAGAACTATATTTAGATTACGGTTTTATGCAATAACTTTTTATAAATTATTTGATTTTGTTTCGCACATATTTAAAGTTATATTATCTGTAAATTATTCAAAATAATTTGGAAATCTGATTAATATTTATAACTACAGTATTAATACTTATTCATACCGTAATAATAAACAAAATGATTGTCAATACAAGTTCTTGTAATTAACAGTCAATAAACCTGATTTAAAGTGTGTTATTTTATTTAAAACTAATTTTAATAATAATTTTGTGGTCAGAAAATACAATACTTGGTTTTCAATGGTTTTAATGATTAATTGGTAATCTTATTGAATTTAATTGAGCTTTAAATACAAAGACTGCACTCATGTGTTGCGTAAAGCCTTTAATTGTTAAGTTTTCAAAAAGTATTTCACAAACGTATTCAAAGGGATTACTTATTTAGCAAAAAAAAAAGATTGTTTTAAAATTGATCATCACTTGAATTATTTATTTAATTTTTTTGTTGTAAAATTGCAAAATAATTGAACATTAAATTATGTAACCAATAAATGCAATGACTTTATAATAGCAAACAATTTAAACAATATTAGAATGAATTTCTTAAAGAATTGAATATTATTTAATTGCCTGTTATATAAATTCTGAATTAATAAATTATTTGACCGAAAAATTAAGCAATTATTTGAATTTCAATAGTTTTGGGTCATTAATCTCGTAGATTACAAGCAATTTATATAATTTAATCAAATTTTCTTATATTATAATCAAATTCAATAAACATTATAAGACTTATCACACAATGACTATGAATACAGTTAATGATATTTTAATTGTAATTCCCATTGTATGGGCAATAATAAGTTGTTTATGAAATTCAAAAGCAGTTTAAAAATAAAATCATTCTTAAAAAGGATAAAATGTTTTATTATGTTTAATAATACTATTTATAAAACAACTTTTGTTGTAATTTATTAGAAATATATTCAATGAGAATAGTGTTTGTTTGTTAAAAAAATAAATACATGTTTATGGGTTTGGATTAAGAAAAATATTACAAATTTGTATTTGTTTTTCTTATTATTTAATAAAGTAATTAAATGCCAAACATTACGCGTAGAATAGAGAGAAGGTGTTGAAATAATATCGGAACTTATAACCAAGTTTTTATACTTATTTTGTACTTCTTATCTAATATATTGGTAAAATATTTATAGTACATAAACGCATCGAAATATGTGTCAATCAAATAAAAAATTATTTATTTTTCATTTTATACTTCTTTAGTTTAAAACTATTGTTAAAATTTTATTGAATTTTTAAGCAATAATATAAATAAAACGATTG